TAAGTTTAACACCTTCTAAATTTTAAATATATTTTTGGGATTTAAATAAATTATTGAATTTATTAATTTATTTATCATAAAATATTTATGTAATTTATCACTGTTACATTGATACACTACACGTCTTAGGAAAAACATACACTTAGATCTAACTAGCAAAAAGTTCAAGATCTTTAATTGTTACTTTGAATGGCAAGCAATCGATATTACATGACTGAAATGACGAGGAATGTGTGAAAATATTGAAGAAATGCAAGGAGGCAATCACGAGCAAAGAGTTGACTTCCATGAGAGAGAATTTTGAAATTCTGCCATAAACTATTGATCTGGATTTATATTATAACAACACAGGCTCATTTTGAAAACCTTTATCCTTAAGTAAATATTACAATCAACAAAGGCTACTATAGTTAAATACTCATTTCAGTAAACTTCTCAACATTAAAGGTTACATGAAATCAAGCTGCTCTTTCTACAAACTTCTGCAAACATTATCTCCAAGCCTCCCACAAGAACTAATGAAGATAATTTATTGCCTCACAAGAGCTACCAACTTGAGAAGCGTCTTCCCACCAAGTTGCTCATTCCCCTGCTATAAATACCAATGTGCCAAATCAAGGTACATATCTTCTTCTACATAATAAAAATATGTATGAACCAAATCTGACTTGAGTGTCAGAGTATCTTGTTGCAGGTACACCCTCACTTTGATCTATTGAAGACCCATGGCTAAAAGTTGCTCCAACTGCAGACTGTTCCGACTCAAGACGGTTTCAAGTCATTTGTTAGAGAAAGATCACACGATCAGGTCAATTGTAAAACTCTGGTTCTGATCAACTATCATCTCAAAAAACTCACTCAGAATTCAGCAATTGAATTTGATAAAAATATATTATTAAAAACCATTCCCTCTCCTGCAATGCGTATATGTACATGCATTCACGGAGAGAGAAGAAAAATTGATAGATAATTTACAAGATCAATATTACATTCCAATATCTTTAATGTGTTTGAACGTTCAAATAATTAGTGTTTAAGAAAGAGGAGACGAAAGAGGAGGATAATTACCCTTATTGTAATCATAAAAAGATTTTTCTAGCTATTAGGTTTAATTAAGACGAATAAAGATAGATTCGCAAAAATAGAAGATTGACTCATATTTAGAAATAAAAGTATAAGTGGGACCTACAAGTAAAAGGAGAGAAAAAAGAGAGTGGTGGGATCCAACCTCTTTTTATGTGTGTAGGAAAGTTGTTTATCTTATGTAAAATGAAATAAACATAACCCTATTTATAATACATTTTTCCAACATAAGATTAAAAACGAAAAATATATAACAAAATACTAAAATAACTATTATTCCCATCTTAACAACATGATAGCTAGAAGATTAAGGGATATGATCCCTGTCCAAACAACGAAATCAACATCGATAACAACCTGACGATAGTTAAGACCCAAACCCAATACGATAAGTGGTGGTTTTTCATTACAGGCTTTTCCTGGACCTGCTTGATAGAGCGACTAGTTTGGTGATTGGCTAGGAGGCAGGTTAAGTACTTTGAATCTGGATACTCAGTTAAGGGAAATTATACCAATGTTTGGTTTCACACTTGAGGGGAGATTGTTGAGATATTCATGTAATAAATTTCACGTTGGTTGGTAATGGACTAAGTGAAGTCCGTATAAGTGAGAATTAAGATTTTGAGTTGAGACATGATGTTAAATCCACTTGATATAATAGTGATGTAGCCTTAGCCTATTAATAATGATCGCCCGCCACAATCTCCTCCTGGACCCCCTAATAACAAGTACTATTAATAAAGGCAAAGAACACCAAGTATCTGTGTGAACATACATATCTAATATTAAGCTATCACTTTCCCGGTGAACCACTTGGACCGAACAATAACGAAGGATGAGTATGCTGTCCTTCTCTTTCAAAATGGACAAAGAGTCATCAAAGGATTTTAATTTTATGAGCAATTAAGCATTGATCACACTATTCGATGGCTTCATGAAAATGATACATTCTACCTTCGAAATAGATTACGAAACCATGCATTTCATAGTACCGGTGTTTTTTTGTAGAGTATTTAATTTAACTTCCTCATCCCCTTTTTTTTTTCTTCATGATTTTACTTTAAAAAACGCTGAAAGGTTGGCGTGAAAGCGATGACTCACAGTTGGGGAAGATGGCTATAATTATGAAACAAATACATGATAAAAAACGAGAAAACCTGAAAATATCAATAGGCTAATTTTTTTGTTATAGTGGTGCTTGATCTCGGTTGCAAATTCAACTTTGTCTAGTGGAGTTCTAAAAAACATTATGATGTGGACATGGCAGATTAAATAATTTGGAAAATGAAATACACATTTGATATAATACATTATATGTTATTTTTATTTAGATTAGAGGAACTCAATATTATTGAAAACTCACACTAGGCGTTGTGGGTATCACATCACACTTATTTAAACTTCTAAACATCATCATTTTATCCATTTATTTTTAATTTAGAATTCTCAGCTCCCACTCCACATTTCCCTGATTAAATTTCCAACAGTTTTATAATTTCCACGCTGATAAGTGTACACTATGTTTTTAATCTCAAATATAATTCAAATAATAATTAATATGATTAAAATATAATGTTAATTAATAAAATCTTAAAGAATATTAAAATGTCAACAACTAGATAAGATTTTAGTCTTTATTATTGTTTCAGGTTGTTTCACGAAGAACAAACCACTGATATGATCTGATCTGATGAGAAGGCAGTTGGCACCGGCTAAAGATAAAGAAAAAATAGGAAAACAAAGATTTAATAAAGATTTGGTCGTCCGCGCTCTGCTGCTCGCTTCAGCGAGAAAGTGAGTGAGAAGCTCGATCTGTTGCTCACTTTAGCGAGGAAAGGAAAAAAGGCTCGCTGAATAGCTCGCTTCAGTGAGCTGACCCAAAACTAAAAGCCCAATTTTAAGTCTTTAAATAGACGCGACGAAGCCTTCAGATGACAAATTCAGAAAATGGAAGAAAAGAGAACTCGGAGACGAAGGCAGAAGCGGAGGAAAAATTCTGGAGCGAAATTCCAGAAGAAGAGAAGAAGATTGAAGTTTCATCACTGATCATCAATCAAGTTTTATCATGAATCCCTTTTATGTGTCATTATTTATTAATTCTGAATTTATGCACATGTTATGCTAAGTTAATTTATGTAGTTAGGATTATAGATCCGACGTGAATCCTAGTTATGGTTTAATTTAATTTCTTTAATAAATTGTTTTATATCTTTGTATGAACTGATCACTCTTACAGGAAATTTGAGGGTTAGAGCTCACAATAGACATATTGGAGTTTTAGTCCCGACAGGGATAAAATATCAATTCTTGCATGATCTAGACATGGGCTTGCTTGAGTTGTAGACTTTATAATTCATTGTGTCTAATGCTTATTCTAAGAGGGATTACTAAGACATTAAGATTCTAATTAGAGTACAGGATTAAAGTCAACATTAGGATTTAACCAACTAATTTTTAGAAGATGAATTATCTGAAATATATGAGATAATTTAATATTGAAATTAATTTAAATTATTCTAAAAGGATCTGAAGTGAAATAATTTTTGCGTTCTTAAATATTCTTGATACTTACTGCAATTAATTTTTATTTTATTTTAATTCAAAAATTATTTTCAACAACCAAATCGAATTGTCCAAATTAAAGGGAATAGTTATAATGGGTTTGTTTTTTCTAAAGTTACTTTAGATAACTTTATCTAATGTTCATCGAAATGACGTCGTTTTGGGGCAAAAATTATGGTGTTTTTATAATTTTAATTTATTTCAGGATTATAATAGTCTTTATCATTCTAATTTTTTAACCCCAAAACGACGTCGTTTCGATGAACATTAGACAAAGTTGTCTAAAGTAACATTAGATACTTTTTTCCCTAGTTTTATAATAGTACTTGGTGATTTAATTATTGTGGGACGATATTCTTTCTAACTACTTTATTATTTGAAACAATCGGTATACTTGCCGTAATCGCAACACACGCCTGAGACTTTTTCCCTAATCTATACATGTGGACCAAAAATGGAAATAGATGAAAAAGAAAAGGATTAATTTGCTTGTAAGTTTAAAAAGAAATGTGCAAGTGCAAGACAGTATTGCGAGGGAAGCGAGAAGTGGATTGGAACAGTTGTCTCTTTGTTTTTGGAATTCTTAATGGATGGAAGGAGAGCTTAACCAAGTACCCAGCTCTTGGTTAGATTGCTAGACACGTCCCACGTGACTGTCATACTAGGTTCCATGGCAGCTTTCATAATCAACTTTCAGTGCTGGAAGGAGTTTCATGGATGAAAAGTGAAAACAGAAGCTCAGTGTCCCCAAAATTGGTCGAAGCCCTTATTTGTGCTCAAAATCAGTTCTGATCCAAGACGTAATTATGCTTTAGTTCTGGTGCCTTTGAACAAATAAACATGCATGGTTAAACAACAATAAGGCCTTGGCCTATTAAGATGTTGACTATTATACCCATCCACGGTTGGTATGTTGAGTTCGAATCCTGTTAGTAATTCCTCATCAGTAAGATCTACTAATTACGAGATACATTGCCTTCGTTGTAGAACAACCGATCAACCCTCCAAAATGTTCTTTCAAGAAAATAGCCCCCTTGGCTTAGACATCTTGCATAAATAGGCCTAAGCTAGGCACGTCCAGTTACAGTACATTCAATTAAAATTTAGAGCTTATGGAAAATAGGTTGAAAACTACCCTTGGCCAAAAAAAAAAAAAAAATCACCCATAAACGGCAACAAATGTCAATAAAGGCTTGGTAGAACTGTAGTATCCAAACAAATATCAATAGCGATCACATATTCCTCAAGCATTTAGTGGTACAACATGAAAAATTCATAATGGAAAAAGATAACAGTAACAATCACATGTGATCAAGGGGCCTGTGAGAGGAGGAGAAAGAAAACTGAAACGTGAATTAAAATAGATATAATAAAAAATATATATTACACTTTCTAATAATATAGTATGGTCAGCTCTATGATCAGTATACTGAAATTAACTTTACAGTAACGAAATACATGCATCAGAATACCTTGTTCTTGTAATTTCGACTAACACTGAACAATTAAAGGGAACAATAAAGCAGGGAATTCTTCCCGTTTGACGGTTGGTAAAGAAAGGAGGCAATGAACCAAAGTATTGACCACATCAACAACCAACATTTACTCACCACGGTTATCTTTATTCCGAAAGCTTATTGCTCTCGTAATTGTTTGTGCTTGTGGCCATACTTCACCATTGCAACCTAAATTGGGAGCTCATGTTTTATCTGGTCCAAAAAGCTTAAGATTTCTTTGATTCTGAAATTCCAACACCAACTGATAAACATTCAGAATCAGTACCGAGCCAGCCCTGTTTTCTTGTTTCTCCCGGATCGCCAAACATAGCTCCACATTAACATATGATATGTTTACATTGGGGCTCTCATCACAAAATGCCCCATTTTCCCACAAAAGCAGTTTTGCCATGTGAGGAAAAAAGGCAACAATTGGGTTTCCCCCCGATTTTATGCCTTCCATTCCCTTTATCTGAATTTCATTGACCATTAGCACTACAATTAGAATGTGCCATAATGCAAATTTTCCCACCTGAAGGGAGCAACTGAGCCTACGAAAGGAGTTCCACGAAACAACAGACAAACACACACACAAACAGCAGCAACAGCTAGAATTGAATGAATGAAAGGACGGTGAAGCATGCCCTGGGAACCTGCAACTCTTCTGTTGTAGTGAATTTCTGCAATCGCACACTTGGCACAAGAATTCTGACCTTGTTTGACTTGGTTACTTAGCTTTTGCTTAAGCTCAACTCTTAGTGATGATTGCTCTATCTCATTGTCAATTGTTACTAACACATCACCTCTTTGTCTATGAGCAAGTTTACGGGCAACCAACACATTATAAGAGTGATTATTCCTCATCATGGCATAGGCACGTGGAGTCTGCCCACTTGCATCCACAAGGGATTCCCAGCACTTCAACCCAATCTACACCAGCAAAAAAAAAACACATAAGAATTCAATAAAAGAGAGGCATGCAGGCATTTTTTTATGCTCTTTGAACATTCCACTAAAATGACTTAAGAGTGTGCTTGGAAGTAATACAATTACAAGGAAAAAAGATAATAATCCATAGTTTTAGGGAAAAAGTGAGTTGAGGTCCAAACAACACCACCAATGATAATTCTACTATTTCATATCTTAGTTTTCATTACATCATCCCCCCCTTTCTTACACACCTTTAAAAAAAGAGGAAAAGAACAACAGAGCTAGGAGACACACAAAAGCAAGAGAAATATGCTATCTACTTGAGGTCTAAAATAGAAATTGCGGAGTTCTACTGCCATCCAGGAAAGAAGCGTTATTTACACAAACACCAACTACCTCAGGCAAGCTGTGTGTCAATGAAACCAAACTAGAATATATTCCTTCTGTTACTCGGCAAAAAGAATCAGTAAACCCCAATGAGGAGAATCATTTCATCTATAAAGCTTATTACTGAAGTATGAGGAAAAATATTTACCTCCTGTGGGTCACTTGTTAAAGAGTCAATTACACCCTCAGAAAACGATGTACATGCTGCCAAGTGCAACGGTGTAATACCACCAGGGCCCTCAAGATTCGGTGGAAATACATATATCCTGGACGTATCATTATTGCTAGGTATAGAATAGTGGATGAGCAAATCAACCATGCTTACGTACTTTCTTTTCACTGCTCTATTTAAGAGTTGGATAGCATTCAGCATCTCCACTGACCCTGTTGATAACCATCCCCCTTCAAAGTGTTTATTAACCAGCATATCCAGAAGGGTTTTGACTAACATGCAACAGTTTCTTTCCACTGCAAAAGTGAGTACAAATTGGAACCTGTCAAGTGAATAATCTGGAACCTCGTACTCATACAAGAACCTTTCTCTTTGGAACAGCCAGCCAAGCTCATTCAGAAAGTGCAAAGCCTCCTCCCTTGACCTGGGCCTTCCAAAATGACATTCGTGCTCATCTGAAATAGCATCACATATTTTTTCCTCCGTATCAAATTCGGACTCAAGTGGTTTCAATTCCTTGCAAATGGTTGCATCAGCTATTATCACTGGAAAACTGTCACCCTTGAAACCATTTTCAACCTGGGCATAAATACAAGTTGCATTTCTTAGAAACATACTTCACACATGAAAATTTCCAGAGACTAGCATGTGTCAGCAAGTACACAGATTTCTATACAGTAATAAAATGCAAGACAATAGAGTGTAGAGATCTACCTCAATGAAACAGCGGCCCAAAACACCAGGAGACGCATTCTGAACTTTAAAACCACCGAGTTTTATCTTATCATAAGTCATACCAGGATAGGCAGGTCCTATAACTTCGGCTGATGTGTAACAGCCAGTACCTGTGCAATGAATCCTGTAAAATTTAGAGACAAATATCAGGGAAACAGACCCGAAGGAAGCATAATACAAGATCCAAATAAGGGGGGAAAAGTACTGACTTTGTGCCAGGAGTTGACAGGTTTCTACCCTTCAACAAAACAGAGGTTTCTTCTCCACTAACAATTGCCAAAGGGGACACAGATATCAACTCTGGAGACCTCCATGTTCTCCATGGTTTGCATAAGCGTATCTTTCCTGGAATTTAATTTCAAATGGAACTAATTCAACTACTTGATAAGAAAAATCCAGCTATGCAGGTGCATTTTATCTTCCAAAGTTTGATCAGAAATCAGTAATCACCAATATCCAATTTATGGAAAAAAAATACTAGTCCAAAGAGTAAAGCTTGAACATAAAAATATGCAATCTAAAATAAGAGATAAAGATCACAGGTACAAATCAGCACCAGTTTCAGTACTCACCATCTTTGTGTGATGCTAACTGACTGCCAGAATGAACTAGAAACCTTCCATTTCTCCAAAAATCATAATCTGAATTTTGAATTAAAGAATGAACACGTTGGAGGAAGTTTTCCTCTAGCTGCAAAAAAAAAAATGCTAGTAATCAGCAAGATAGAATCATAAAAGCAAAAAATTTGCATCACCACAGTTCACTTACTTGCTCCCAGGAAGCAGAAGACATTGTTGCATAAATTGATAGGACCACACAGCCAGGCCTTATGTAGCTCTCCATGTCTGATGGCCTATTGGAAAGCCAGTTGTAAATCTTAAAAAAAAAAAAAAAGGGGTTATTCACATTGCATTATCTCGTATTCACACTTACAAAAGGACATTGTGTCACATTCAATAAAATTAACATCATTAGATCAGAACAAATTTTACAGGACAGTGCAACAATAGTGTCACCTGTGTTCGCAGTGTTCCAGGGAAATGGCTAGGATGCTTGTCAAATAGTTTAAACATTATTCTCCCCGTCCGATCCTGTTGGACAGAACCAATCCCGAAAGACGAATTACATAAGCTTGCTTAAATATAATACAAATAAAGCAAAGTACAAATTCAAAGTCAACATGAACCAGAGATAGTAAAATACCGAACTACCAACCTGAGCATCTGAATTCAGACTGGGAGGTGAATGATCAGAGCTGGAAGATGTATACCCAGCTTGAAATGGAACACTTTGAAGTGAATTAGGTTGTTGCATCCTGTTATTTGACCCTTTAAAGAGATCAAGAGAGATATTACAACTATGACTTTGGCTAGCTTCCTTATTTGCATTGACTCCTCTTCCAATTGAAATGCTATCGGGCTTGATACCTCTAGTCCCACCCTGCAAATCAAACTGCATCTCCACAACAGGAGGAGACGAAGACGGCGACCCCTCTTCCACAGGGTTACTACTATCTGACGACAAATACTTTCGCGAAGATGAAGCCATCTTAGGCGCGCTTTCCTCTTCCGGAGAGGAGCTAAAAAGTTGCAGCGGTAAATTAACTCGAACATCCTCCTCCGGGCAGTCCAAATCCTCAACCGGAGACTGTGAACTGCCACTGCTTCTCTCTCCACCAACGGAAGTGAATTGATGTTCCTCACTGTCGCGGCCACCGCGATTCTGAGCAAGTGAAGCAACAGGATCAGGAGCAGACGCAGGTAAAGTGCCAGAAAGAACAGCAAGTAAGTCCTTAGTTAAGGGGCCAGAGGCCACGTGGTTCAATTCGTTCATTCGGTCATGACCATTATAGGAGGCTGAATTTTGCGTTTGAACTTGCACATGACCTTTTTTCCCATTGAAATTACCAACATCAAGCAACTTCGCTGCAAGATCACCAGGCAAAGGTATCCTATTAAGAATCTGAACAAGCTGCTCTCTATCCGGAACTTCCAATCTTCTTTCCTCAATTTTTCCTACACATAACCATCACAAACAAACTTAACTAACATGTTTTCCGTAACAATAAAAATAACTATTAGCGTTTCAAAATAAAGTTACCTTGTGAACCACCGGCTATAGCGGTCAACAAGTTGAAAATTTCTAAATTAGCGGCGGCGGCGGCTGCTGCGGCGGGAGGGGGAGACGTCGAGGTAACATCTTCCGGCAAGGTTTTTCTCCGGCGACGGTTATGACCGGCGAGTCTACGGCGACAGCTGCGCTTTCCTTCGTCAAATTCGGAGAGAGGGTGAAACCTACTACACTGCTGGCAGAAACGTTGCATTTGGTTAGCAAGTAAGGCTTTGGAGGCTTTGCTGTGAAGTTCACACACTTTATGGCGTCGGTGATAGTCCTTAGCGTTGGATAGATCTTCCCTACAATTATCAACCTGACACATAGGATACGACGCCGTTCCACCACCAGATGAAGGTGAACCCGAACGAACCCTCTTGTTAGGTCTAGACACGCCACAACCACCACCGAGATTCAATCGTAAAGGCAAACTCTCTTCTTGTTCTTCTTCTTCTTCTTCGACTTCGTTGTTGTTAACCTGTTTCCCTACAAATCTCACACTGTCCCAGTTCCATTCCTTAGGGTTCCAATTATCATCGTTCCGAACGACGCCGTACGACAGATCGCGCTTCTTGCTCGCCATCGACGACGAAGACGAATCGTAAAACGAACTCGCCAGTGTTGCGTGCATCAACATAGGACCCGGAGCTAACTTTTCCATTTCTAAAATTAAAAAAAAAAACAAAAAAAAAAATTAAATCGAATTCGAATTGATTATAGAACTGAATAGAGAAAGAAAATAAGCATCACATACCTTCAATTTTTTTTTCCTTCTGTTGCAGGATGAAGAGGATTGATTAATGGAAATCCATGAGGTTGGTTGAAACTTCAGATCTGAAAGATGAATCGGGTGATTTTTTTTTTTTTTGGGTTTGGTTATTTGGTTCCTTGTTGAAGCTGAACTTGTGTGAAGGAAGTCGTTGTTGCTGTCCCCAACTTGCATCAAGTACGTTATTGGCTGGGAATGGCATATATCGTAAATTGAAGGGAGTTTTGGGGGTGTTTTGGTTTGTATAAAGAAGGCCCACTCTGGAAGAATCCAAGAGCTTTCCGAGTACCACTAACCATTCCGTACAATTGCTTTTCTTTTACTTTTTGGGGGTAAAAGAGATATTTAACAAAAGGATCTATTAATCTCATGTTGCATTAGATAATTATCTCATACAACAGAGATAAAGTAGTAGAGTTCACATTATTTTTTATTTTATTTTTTTACAAATAGTGAATCTCACTACTTCTGTTGCATAAAATAATTATCATGCACTGCTTAAACATGCACATAAGATAATTATTTCCTTTAACAAAACAGTCTCCACCGCTTAAAGATAGGATTGGATGTGAATTCCACTGCTATTGCCGTACCTCATCGATCCCATCCATAGGCGTTAGGTATTTTACTTCTTATTTATTTATTGAGATACGTTATATTTATCAAATAGTTACAAAATAACCACAAGTAAGATTTATTAATAAGAAAAATATGTGTTGATGTTATTTTAAGTGAGAAAAAATGATAGATCATGAAGAGAGAATGGACAAAAAAGATAAAGATACGAGTCTCACTTTTTTATGAGAGTAAAATTCATTTTAAAGGATAAATATTTTTCTTTTTATTAATTTGATTTTGATTCAATAATAATAAAATCAATTATAAAAGATAATAAAAATAATAATAATAAATATAACTTCCCTTTATTTATTTTGAGTAAACTATCAACAATATTAACCACATATTCTTCACTATGCTTATATCATTTGGTATTAGATGTATGGGAATACTTATTCTCACTTTATATAATGGGAAAAATGTTTCTGCAGATAATGCAGATAAATTATCTGCATTTATTCTCAAAACGACGTCGTTTTGGTATTGAAATCTTAAAAAATTAAAATATAAAGACTTTTATAACCCTTAAATAAATTAAAATTACAAAAATACCGTGATTTTCACCCCAAAACGATGTCGTACTAAATTTACTGTAGATAACTTATCTACAGTAACTGCATAAAAAACAAACCCTTATATAATAGTAGTTCTTTCATATTATAAACAATTTCTATATAGTATCCATTATTAAAAGATAAAAAAAATTGAAATGAAAAAATATGACATAATTATTTTATGTAAAATGAAAACAATATTTTCCTTAAATATATGGATGAAGTGGTGTGAGTTATGAAAGAAATAGACTATTACTGACATTACCTTTACAGGTGTTTATGGTAGACTTGTTCAATTGAAATTTCTTAGTTATCAAAAGCAGTTTCTTGTGCGTATGTGACGCATGTATTACTTGGTTTCTAATTTGGGACTTTCATGTTAATGGGTTGTTTTAAGTCTATTATGAGAAATTATTAAGCCCTGGAGAGCTAACTTGAATTTGAACAATATTTTCATCACTTCAGTTTTTTTCTTTTTAAGTAAAATAACTGAATATTCTTTTTTATATGTTTTTTTAATCTTATAACGTATCTTTATATTTATTCAATGGGAAGCTAATTTCGACTTAAAATATTGAGATTGTCCTCTTGTAAATACTTTTCAAGAAGCTCAAATTGTTAATGTCGTGAGGGTTCCTTAATTGTCAAATTTATTGTTTTTAAAAACAGTTTTTTAATTTTCAAAACAAAAAAAATTAAAAAACTCGTTTGGTAGCACATGTTTTGTAAAAAATATTTTGAAAACTATAACTGTTTTTTGATTTTTAGAATCAAATTTAGAAAACATGTCTGAGTTGTTTTTGTTTTCTGTTTTGGTTTTTAACTTTCAAAAAGAAAAATATATAGAAAACAATTATTTCCATAATTATTTTTCAAAACAGTTTTAAGAACAAAAAAAAATCAGAACACAATCAAACAAGCCCTTAAATTCACTTTTCACTTAAATTGTTGTTTATTAAATTTTGATAAACAATTTGTAAATATCATTACAGGTGATTGTTAATAATTGTGATATAATCTAATATTAAATAACTCACTCAAGCTTGAACTTTAAAAAAGTATGTATATATTTATTACTTCGGTTTTAACATCAATTTCTTTTCCATGTTATTGGTATCACAGTCAATCTTAATATACGTGTATATTTTAAACATTTATGTTAATAAATAAAAAGGTTTTATGTTTTTATATTGTAGGAGATGAATTATCTTTTATATATATAAATTATATATACATAAATAGGGTTTTGATTTTCTCATGTTGCATAAGAATTCAATTCTCATCTCATGTTGTGACTTAACTAGTAGTGTACCCCACATTTTTTTAAAAAAAAAAATTGCATGCAAATCGAAGGTTCACAACATGACAAAATATTTCTCATGCAATATGAGAAGTGTTTTTCTCATAAAAGTATGACTTTAATGTTTATACAGAAAATATAGATAAGTTATTTGATCTGGATAAAATATAGTAGGCTCATTAGAGGCTCATTAGAGGCCCAAAGACATATAACGAAGCTCAATCTCATGAAAGGCCCAGAACTAAGCGCGATGGCCATCATCGCGCGCATGGCATGACGCGATGCCCCCATCGCGCATAAACCGCCCTTTGGTATAAACTCCAGAGATACAGAAGCTAACTTAAAAGCCAAGGCAAACTCATCGCGCCTTTAAGCTAATAAACAAAGGACATCACCAGCTCTCCGCAGCTCTATCAGGATAGCTCAACATTAAGAAAATAAGGCTATTCAGATTCTAGCCAAACCTGCAGCCTAAACATGGCCAATCAGAGGCCAAACCGCCTTATGAAGGCGGCATCAGAACCACTATATAAGCTGAGGATACACACCCAGGTACATCTATGTAATTCATTAAGAATACACATACATCTGCCTCTGATACTGACTTAAGCATTAGAGTGTCTTCGCAGGTACCCTCCCATCCGGACTCATCGCGCCAACAAAGGGCAAGGGCATACAGATCGTCATCAACAACTCCAAGCCCAAGACGAAGTGTATATTCCTCACCACATCAACCGTATGTGATTAGGCTTGATATACTTTGGCCAGTCCATATTGTATTTGGTCTAATCATTGGCGTCGTCTGTGGGAATCTATCATTTAGAACCCATTATTTTCTTAATTTAAAAACATGGTTGATACCAGAAGCAAATCTCATAACGGCTCCAAAGGAAAACGGAAGGAGACTCCTGCCTCCCGCGAGAAATCAGCTTCGTCAGTGGCACCACTTTTCGTCCATCAAGATAACCCACCGACGACCCAGCACTTGTTGGACCTTATCACGCAGCAGAATAAAAAAATTGCCCAGCAGAATCGAGATTTAGCTCGATTGAAAAAAAGCACAAAAGGCTAAAGAAAGAAATCTAGAAAAAGAAAAAGAAAAAGAAAAAGAGCTTGAGAAAGAAAAAAATCCTGAAAATTCCGGTGAAAGTGAGCCGGTGCAGGAACATTCAACGGGAAATCCTGGACCTTCGGGTCACAAAAACAAAAAAAGGTGAAGAAATGAAAGGTACTAATGAGAATGAGAATTCTCATGAGAATTCTAGGACAGTTTCTCGAATTCTTCACCTGTTTACTCCATGTATAATGAACATCCCAATTCCCAGAGACGTCAAAATTACAATTGAAAAGTACAACGGAAAGGGAGATCCGCAGGAACATCTGGAACAATTCCAGACCAACAAGATGGCTCAAGATGTTGCTGATCCGATAGCGTGTCGGTTTTTCCTAACAACCTTGAAGGAGGTAGCACTCAGGTGGTATTCCGCGTTATCACCCAATTCAGTACACAGTTGGGAGGACTTAACCAACCAATTTCTTATACGATTTGCAACAAGCAAAGCACAATACAAATCCACGCACACTTTGAAAACTGTGCGACAAGGACCAAATGAAACATTGCGTGATTACCTTAACAGATTCTTTGATGAAGCACTCATAGTCAGAGACTTGGACCCACTAGTCTCCCTTCATCTCATCATTGAAGGTCTATTAGAAGGTCCCTTCTCTATGTCGTTAGCTAAACAATGATCGCGTACCATAAAAGAACTGCGTGCGCTGATGGGACGAAAAATTATTCCCATCTAAGCCCATTTTGATAGCAAAATACCATTTGTTCCCTCACCTGATGAGCAACTTTAGCACTAAAAGAACATGTTTAATATATTTATGACAAAAACACAGCGGGGAACGGATGGTGACGTAAGTCTTTGGAAAATATATAAAAAAGGAAACGGATTGGGAACATTAAATACACCTGCTCCACTCATTTAATATTTCCGACCACTTTGCAGGAAACGTTGGAAAGAAGTTTCCATAAAGCATAAGCGGTGATCAAGCAAGAGGAAACGTGCGAAGCAGGGAATAAACGGTTCCTATTGGCTAAAGAGGAAAGCGAGGCATGGGGATGATCAGAAGGAAAGACAAATCTCAGCAATAACTGTCACATCCAGCCACGTGTGCCCCCCCTCAAAGCACTGTTCACACCGCCCCTTTCATGCAGTCAAGAAAACAACTCCAAGGGAATTACTCACTTTGCTATTCACTCTTATGCCTATAAATAGGACGTTCCAGCACGAAGAACATATCAAATTCCTTAATTTGAGATCACTTAGTTTATTTTATAGTTTTCTTTGTATTTGTATAGTTTTAACTTTAGTTAAGTGACAACACTTCTTCTTCATTCTATATCACCCACTTGAGACTCCTCACGAGCAGCAATCATATTCTCCACTTTTCATTTTGTTGTAATCAATTTGTTTTCATTTAAATACAAGTGTTATTTCTCCCATTTCCATTCGTTATCTCAGAACTGAATCTCGGGTCTATGGGACTTCAGTTTTGAATAATTATGTTTAAACTAGTAGCCATGGGCTAAACTATTTGTGGAATGGAAAAACTACAAAGTTCTTAAAGACTTATTTTCAAAACTTTTATACTGAGCTTTTGTATTTCTCTGG